GCAGTCAGTTTCCATCGTTCAGAAGTATCCTGTGTACATGGGGCCTTACAGACAAAAATAAAAGCCTGAGAGAAATTCCCAGAATGTCCTAAACTAAGAAAAATGAAATAAAGAAAAAAGAAAGCAACATTAGGAAAAGCTGTTATTTCACTTTACCATAATTTATACAAGAAAAATAATTTGAGTGTATTTATAAATGGGAAAAATTGCTAAAGTTTGTATTACAATACCTCTTTAGATGCATTTAGATATTTTTTGCTGTGTTTCCTCCTGAATGTGATTCTTAAAAATCTGTGTGCATAGACACATAGGCTTTTATTGAGTTGAGTTCAAGGGCTTTGGCAAAAAACTCCAAAAACTCTTGAACTCACATTTATGTGAAGCAGTGTGCATGAGGGCAAACAGGGATGTTACTAAGGATGCTAAAAGCTGTGTGTCTACTGACTATTACACTAATAAATAGCATATCAAAATTCATTAAATACTCTCACATTGACACTAGGGGAAATGATAAAATCACACTGAAAATATTGTGAGAAGAAAGCACTATCTGCTTCATAATCAAAAGATCTGAAAAAAGAAAGAACATATGAATATTACCTGTTCTGTTGGACTTTTTCAAATTCTGTGAGTTATTCTAGCCAGGTCAGGTTTAACATTATAATTATAAATAAATGTTTTTATTGTTATACACTGTAATTGAAGATAAGCATTTGATCAGTTTTGAAAACATTTATTAATGCTAGCTGCTCCCATACATTTCTTGCTGTGTAGCCGCTGAGGATATGTAGTCCTGGAGGAGTGCTGCACAGGGAGGCTTATGAAGATACAGATGCCATCACCCAGGTGTGACCTGTTGTTGTGTGTGCCTACAGCAAGGAAAGAACCAGCCAGAGTCTGAGCGCTTGGGAATGAGCCTTGTGAGGAGGCTTATGAAGATACAGATGCCATCACCCAGGTGTGACCTGTTGTTGTGTGCCTACAGCAAGGAAAGAACCAGCCAGAGTCTGAGTGCTTGGGAATGAGCCTTGTGAGGACCTGATTGTGAGGGATAAGCAACCTGAGACTAAATTCCTGAGGCCAACAGACCACCAAGCATTCTGCACCTGATTCCTAGTGAGCAAAATCAATGGTGCTTTTCACATCACTGTCAGCAGTTTAATGCCAATATACAGTAGACTGCCCCTTACTTATCTGCCCAGCAGTCATACACTGCCTGTATATTTTAAAGCGATACCAGCAAGTGCACCACCGTACAGACATGCCCGAACATTAGCTGGCTTATTATTGCAAATTAAACAAACACCTTCCAAGAGTACCCATCCAGGAACACTTATGTATACCTATATCCAGGGGTATTATCACAAAGTATACTCTGGGAAACTTTGGCCAGTTATTGCTGAGGGTTTCAGTGAGACTGTTCTTTGTAACATTTATAATCTGTAAGGCTAGGTTCACATCTGTGTGGGTGGTGCCGCTGCGGATCCGCACGAAAATCCGTGCAGCTGCACCACCCGCACAGAGAAATGCGGACCCGCGGGCGGTGCCATTAGTTCTAATGGCACGCCACCCACACTGGAAAACGCAACCGTATTGGGAAATGAGGTTCCCGTGCGGGCTGCGTTTTCGGAAGAAGTGCAGGGACTTCTTCCCTGCTTGTCGCGGGGCACGAGAGTCCGTTCAAATGAATGGGCTCTTGTGCCTGCGCTAAACGCGGCCCGCACGGCCGCATATATGTGAACCGGGGCTCACTGTTTATGCTGTTCCTTATTAACACTAAGTATGTCTGTTAAATTTGGTTTAGACTGATTGTGGCCTAGATTAATTACCATATTATACATAAGTATTTGACTTATTTACTTCAATGCGGGTAAACATATTCAGTTTTCTGTTTCTTGCTTTGTGCATTGTATTTATCTTGCCCTGCAATAATACACTTACATTATTCACCATCAAGTAACCTGTGGCCGATTTTCTGTACACTAATATAGTGTTGTAGTATTATTATTATTATTATACAGGATTTATATAGCGCCAACAGTTTGCTCAGCGCTGTACATTATAATGGGAGACAGTACACGAGACAGCACAGTAACAATACAATACACGAGGGGTTCGAGGGCCCTGCTTCTTGGAACTTACAATCTAGGAGGGAGGGGGAGAGTGGTACAGGAGAAAATAGCTGTGGGGGATGGAGTGGTGGGAAGAGCAGAGGAGATGGGCAATTAAGTGAGGGTGGGGTAGGCTTCTCTGAAGAGATGGGTTTTCAGGGTGCGCCTAAAGGTGAGGAGGGTAGGTGACAGTCTGATGGATTGGGGTAGTGAGTTCCAGAGGATGGGGGAAGCCCTGGAGAAGTCCTGGAGACGGGCATGGGAGGAGGAGAGTAGAGAGTAGGAGGTCTTGTGAGGAGCGGAGAGTGCATTTTGGGTGGTAGATGGATATCAGGTCGGTGATGTAGTTTGGGGCAGTGTTATGAAGAGCTTTGTACGTCAATGTTAATAATTGAATTTTATGCGTCGGGCAGTCGGAAGCCAGTGGAGGGATTGGCAGAGGGGGGTGGTGGATACGGAGCAGTTAGTAAGGTGGATGAGTCTGGCCGCAGAATTCAGGATAGACTGAAACGGGGATAGCCTGTGTTGAGGTAGTTACAGTAGTCAAGTCATGATATAATGAGGGAGTGAATGAGTTGCTTTGTAGTTTCTGGGGTTAGGAACGTGTGTATTTTGGAGATGTTGCAGAGGTGGATTCTGCATGAATTTGTCAGCGATTGGACCTGGGGCTGGAAAGACAGATTGGAGTCTAGAATGACACCTAGTATTCTGGCTTGCGTGGTGGGGCTGATGGTGGCGTTGTTGGTCGTGATGGAGAGGTCGGGGGGGGGGGGGGGGGACTAGGAGCTCGGTTTTGGCAAAGTTTAATTTAATTTGAGTCTGATATGTCTTTCAGGAGGCTAGTGATTCGGGAGGAGATTGAAGGGGTAGAGAGATAGATTTGAGTGTCATCTGCATAGAGATGGTAGTTGAAGCCGTGGGAGTGTATCAGTTGACCAAGGGAGGAGGTGTAGATGGAGAAGAGAAGGTTAGTATAATAACACTTAAGATATACAGGTGTGTGCAGTCTTCAAATAATGTAACCAGGTGTGTCAGATGGGACAACATGGTTTATGGAGTTGTGGCAGAACAGAGAGCTCATCTTACCAAGCAGTCCCTGCAGGGGTAAGCTCTACACAAACATTTATTGAATTTGTCTTAGTTCCCCTTGTATGTCCACCTTTTCTTAATGGCCATGTAAATGGACTTACACCTTTAGCAAATCAGGCCAGGATCTTTGCATTTTGCACTACATAAATAATGTAAATATCCAAGACTGTTGCATCTAAATTCTTATAATAAAAAACATTTTAAAAGTTTATTATGTATGACAAAAAACACACCTGCTGCTAGAAATATTTATAATAATTATTTTCCTAAAAAAGCTTTTTTTCTTATTATTTTTTTAAAAAAGCCTGTGTTTGCTGCTTCAATGAAAAGTGTAATAGTAAGCTGTAAGGCAACTGGGGTTGAGTCATCATCACATAGCAGTGTCCTAGTAATGGGCCACATCAGACTGCTATCACATAATATTGTCCTAATAAGCTTTATAGCATAAGCCTCAGGCAACATTGCTGTGAGCAGAGAGTACATGAGCCATCAGCACAGTACTACTTACTGGTGACCCAAATCATTAATGTCTATCTATTGCCATGGCAAGGAATAGCATTATAACTGATAATGGTAAAATTGTACTTTGTACACACAGCCATTAAAAGAGACTGCAATTCTTTCAAAAAAGCATTTACAGCAGGAATGAAACTGAGTGACAAAGGTCGCACAATTTTTTTATATTTTATTTTATTTCTCATTTATTTATTGATATGAATATGTATGTATTATTTATTGGATTTAATTTCATACTATGGTATTACATGTGTAATTGCTATCTAAATGCTTCAGGAGCTGCAATGAGAAAATATATCTTGCTTACAATAGCCATTGCTTTACCCCTAAGAAAAAATCATTTTCTCAGCACAGCTTTATTTTGCTATTAGAGATAATGCTTAAGTGTGAGTTTTGTATTGCTACTGGCAGATTCTGCCTCCAGTAATAAATTTGCTTCATAAATCCTCTTCTATTTTCCTCTATTGTCCAATCCTTCCCTCGCTGCTGTCCCTGCAGCTCCACATCCCTACCCAGCACATCAAGTCCCAAAGAGTGCCTCAAAATCAAATCGTGTTCCCAAAGGACACTATCTTTTCCCACATCTCTGCAAACCCTTGCAGCCAAGTCATATCTCTAAAAGCAAATGAATCCCATAAACATCATCCAATTATTTTCCATTTCATGGCATTCTTCCTGCTACATTCCACCCCCCACAAAACACAAACAAATGTAGGTGGGTCCAACCATGACTGAGGTTTCTGCCAAGACCCCCGTAACCCAGGGTTGACTCAGGCCTAGCATACAGTCTACAGCCCACACAGAACTGTCCTTCGACTCTCTACCTGGGGACACTTCCTGCATTGGGCCCGATGACTCACGCTTGGTTCCAGGGAAGAGCTCCTACTCCCCTATCCATAATCATTCCTTAGCCCAACCAGGTTTGACCAGAGTTGGTGTACTGAGATCCTATGATCCTCTTCATGAGATGTACAGTCTAGCTTTTGCTTAACAGTGCGCTATCTCACTTTACAGCATTAGACGTGCCCAGGAGCAACTCCATATACTTGAAGCAGTCACATGCGTGGTCCAAATCAATTTTATTAAAGTGTTACTAAACCCAAGACCCTTCATTCACTAAATCTGGCCTCCCACAGTACACAGAACACGAAAATGCAATTATTTTAGTAAATATAAACTGCTAAATACCTTTTCTCATCAGCAATTAGAGCAATCTTGTGACTTCTGTCAGTGTCCAGCAGAGCACTGGTTAAAGCATGTAGGAGGCATTTTCATTCTCTCCTGATTGTCCTATGAGGCTGCATAACCCCTGACTCTCTGTCTGGACAGCCCTTATTGACCCTGTGCTGATCACATGCTCTCTTCCAAAAAAACCCCCCAAAAACCTCTCTAGCAATACACACCAAACTGAGCATTTGCAGCTTGTCCCCAAGTCCTTGTTCTATCTGGAGATGAAGTGGGGACTGTGGAAGAAGAAAAGGATCAGTGAAGACAGGATCAAACATCCTTTTTACACAATGCAGAGGATTAACCCCTTAGGTTTCACAGTGAATACAACAAGCAAGCTTTACTGCATATACAGACTGATTTTACTGTTGTGGGTTTAGTAACATTTTAAATTAGTTCACATTACAGTTCAATTAAATTAATTCTCTTTCTTTCAGCAATAAACAGTTCTTCTCTTGGTGGTAGTGTACCTTCAGTGCCCAGTAGTATGGTTGCCCTTTCCAGAGGTAGCAAAGAAAAAAATGTATCTTCTTTTCCCCTCACTTTCTATTGGCTCTGCTCTTCCCATTAGATAGCCCGTACCCCCCTGAGCTAAGCGCCACCCCAAGCTTATATAAGATCCTGTCAGGAAGGATATGAAACAATTACCCTTCCTGTATGGATTTAAAGAAGAAATCTTCCTTAACAGGGCAACAAATTAATTAAAACAATAAATATTGCACACTTTTATGAACAACAAACCAATTCGTGATAAATAGTGAAAATTAATATAACATATACAATTATGTAGCAGCTTATGCACACAACTCCTATCTCATATAAGGCAAAATGAATAAATTAAGTGAACCAATGCAGCGCTACAAGTAAAAACACTACCTAAATCCAAATGCGATAAAAAAAATACAAAAAATTATATATATTATAATTGTGTATACTGAAAAACCAAAAATAAGTAAAAAAAAAAAAAATGTTTTCTTCTTAATAATGCTTCTTTCCTTCTATAATCACACAGTACTTCAAAAACAAAAGTGCATCCTTCCACCACCAAATGTCTGCTGCTCACCTCTAGCAGTGTGACCTCACATAATACTATGTTTGGTCTAACTGCACTTTTGGTCCCACAATGGACTCGGAAGGTCAACTTCATGGATTATCAGCTGTAATTCCCACCTTGTTCGGGATGTTGATCTCACCACCAATTCACCTCATCAATAAAACTCCACATAGTGCGTAAAGCTTTATAACATTTTAATATAAAAAAATATATACAAATGCACACTCACATGCAAATGGTGCCTCACCACACCACGGGTGTACAGAAGTGTGTGCTCCGATGTTAACATCCTTCCAGTATAAGGAATAGCATACACTGCCGATGCCACTATTTTCACCGGCTTGGATGGCAATGTATCCTCCAGTGCAAGCGTGTTACAATAAGTGTGCACTAGCGCTGTAGTAATTGCCGACTCCGTGTTGCATCATGACATTATCCAATGCTCCTCCGTAATGCGTTTCGTCACTCGTCACGTGACTTTCTCAAGGAGAACGTGATTGCACTGTATGGCGCTAATCGTCCATATATAGAGAGACCACTGCAGCATTTTGTTGTAGATAATTGAGGCGCATCTTCTTAAAGGATGCTTATTCTATCCTAATCGGACTAAGTCGAAAAGGAGAATTTGAATAATTATTGTTCCAAGGGGCCTGTTTATGAGGTTTTCACTTGTATGGCAACAAATTAACCCCTGCCTACACACTGGGAATCCCAGGCAGCTCTCATCACACCTGTAACTCCCTTCCCACAAATACACAACGCTACTCCCCAGCTCTGATGCCTGCCACCTCAGTAACATGTCAGCTTAGAGCCCCACACTTTACTGACACCCTTGCTCATACGTGCTTCATTTTAATTTAGGTCAACAACTCCAGGAAACTTTGGATCTTTAAAGCTGACACACACTCAGTGCTGATGTTGGTCTCTGGCTACCTGATATCTGTGCCTGGGAAGACCAACTACAGAAGAGAGACCTAACCCTAGCAAAAAATGTATATGTGAGAGTAAAACAGGAACGAATAGTACAATGGAAGGGTGCTAGAGGAAAGAAACTTAATTGGATAAATGTAGAAAACAAACACATAGCTCCTTATATACAGTATACACATATGAACACGTACATAAGTCCTCAATTCCATCATATACAAAGCTCTTCCCCTGAGAGATTTACATTTTTTTGACCAAAACAATTTTTAAAACTGCCAAGCAACCAAGTATGTACAGTATGTTAAATTAAAATTTTATGTAAATGTAGTGTAACTCCAAAGTTTCATATTAAACAAAAATGATAAAAAATAAACTTTTTATTGAAAGTCCAAAGTCCCAATATAAATCCAGTCACCAAAGTGAAAAGCTTGAAGTCTCTTTACTCATTTATAAATGGCTCAGATAGGTTTGGAAATGGGCCCCTATTATGAGGGCAAGTGGAGCTTCAAAATAAGCAATCCAGGATTCAGATCGCAATGGCTGCTACAGGTGGACGTCCAATATACATAAAGGTATTCTCAGTGGGTAATTAATGCATTCGATGAAACACTCAAAACACTCACAACCAAGCCCAGCTCAAAAAAAAGAAGGTGTCATAGTGTAACCCATAAACAAACCTTTTATTAATAAAAAACATAAAATGCACTAAGAGCCAGGGCTACAAGCAGGTTAAAGTACCAACCTGCCACCTCACCTTCACATTGTACACCAGCGTACACTAAAGCCACACTTTTAAGAGGACTGCAGAAGCCAGGGGCGTACTCGTAAACACACTCTTATGGATCAGAGAAGATCCAAGGGGTGTTGTGGAATTACTCTATCAGCATGCAACTTTTTTGTTTATTTTTGTTTGTTTTTGTGAATTTTGTGGGGAAGTTGTGATATCCACTCTGTGGTAAAATGACTACACAGATTGCATTTCACATTTTAAATTAAAAATTATAACATTCATTGTATTAGCTCACTTAAATAAGCATAATTTACAAGATAGCAGTACATTGTAGTTCACACAGTAAACAAGCATATTTGTTTTTACAAAACTATTGTTATTGTATTGTCAATCATTTTGTGTAATGGTGTGAATAATTGTAAAAACTGCATTACAGAATATTTTTTTTAAAACAATTTTCTCTTAACATCAATGTTTTCTACCCAGTGGTTCAGTAAATTTAGATTTGTCATAGCATAAACCTGAATATGCAGTTGCAACTCAAAGGTGATAATAAAAAAAAAAAAATAGAAATAGAAAAGAAAAAAAACATAAATAAAAAAAATAATAGATTAGCAAGTGTTTAAACATTGGTTGTTTGCATACTCTTGATTCATTATTATTTAATAAGGAAAATTATAATTTTACCTCATATCACATCTTAAAATTCCAAATTTAAATGGCATATTGATATAATTATGTTTTCTATATATCAAAGTAGTGTGTGCTAAGTATTCCCATACAGAATAAGATAAAATTAAAATATGCCACCATACCAAAGCTTCAGAACAATCATTACACTCCAGTCACATCAAACCCTACTTTGAAATCATGTGACTTGCAGTGAAGTTGCACAATTTCAAAGTCGGATGACATGCCGATTTCAGGTGCCATTTGCAAGACATCTGATACAGATATCTATGCAAATCGCACCAAAAGTAGTGCATGTACTACTTTAGAAATCGGCTGCTGCTCCAACCAAGTCAGAACCGCACTGATTTGACTGCTCTAATTACGGACAAAAGGCTGCGATTTGGTATGCAATTTGCAATTCGCATGGCATGCAAATCGCATGCCAATTCGCATCTAGTGTGACCGGGTCTCAGGTAAGGAATCTAGACAGGATATAGAAGCTGGTGAAAATGGTGAAATTAGTCACAAAGAAGAACCCATCGCAGCCTAACTCTCACTTTAATTTCCTGACAGCCATGATCAAGGTGTGCTTGTTCAGAGATTTCCTGACCAGTTAGAAAGTCTTTGTGCATAGTGGCAGGTGCTTCTAACTACAGGAAATGCTAATTATCCCCCAACCTAAAAAAGCACTATGTAGCGCTACCCTCCTGAGGGTTCCTGTAAGATGACGGTCCCCAAAGATTGCCCTGACTTTTGCAAGCCCCTCGACACCTCTGGCACCCTGGGTTCAGACATAATTCACAAGAAATCACAATTGCAAAGACACCAGAATGTGATAAAGCAACCAAGTATTTACTAAGGATTCTTTAGTCAGAGACAGGTAAAAAAAATATGTTAATGAAAACACTTCCCAATATAACCCTCTTTTAGTCTCAAGGTGTAAATACGGGTACTTAAAGCAGAAATAAACACAATAAGTCAGGAAGTGATTTCAAGTATGTACCCAAAGAACCTATGACCCAGGGGCGGAATGACAACTCATGGGGCCCCCGGGCAATAGGGGATCATGGGGCCCCTGTGTCCTTGCCCACACTCAAAAATGCCTTTACAAAAGGTACCAGGGGCATTACATGGGGCCCCCTACTGACCCCGGGCCCTCGGGCAGTGCCCGAGTGCTCGAATGGTCAGTCCGCCCCTGCTATGACCCCAGATATGAGAGGGAAAAAAAAGAATTCTCTGGGTCAAGCTGTTCCCTGGAATCCTGATGTCACGGGCCCAGAATAACAGCACACTTTACAGGAACTCAATGTGTACACTATACAATGAGCTAATTCTGAATAAAAGCTCCCCCTAACACACACAGAGGTAGGGCACAGAATCCTTGGCTTAAGGAGAATGGAAAGACTAAAAGAGTCTCAATGATAAAGATGTCTTGAGTCTTCAGCTAGCTCAACAGGGGCCCAGAGAGACTGCTGTGCAATAGTGACCAGAAATCATGGATGACATATGCAAAGATGGTTCCTATTAAATGCTTTGTCTGTGAAGAAGTGTGGAATAAAGGTGTCTGCATGCAGTGTGTTTTGATACAGTGTGTATGAATGTATACAATGTGGGCGTCCAACTGCTCACCAATTCTGATGATACTGCAGCTCCAGGGGAACCAGGATGTCCCAGAATGGGCTTCTGCAAAATCTGCAACCAGTGAAAGGTGCCTGGCCAAGCACCTTTGCGATGCTGGGATACCAATGTGACTGTGGCAGTGACAATGCGAGTGAACATAGACAGTTACTCTGCTGACAGGGAGCTGGAAATGAATGATCTGCCTGCAGGTATGTAGCACACCCGCCAAAGATTTTCCACACCTTCCAGACCGCATGGCCTGCTTAACTCTCCAGAGCAGCCGGGTCCCTCCTCTCAGCTTCAGCCTGTGGTCCCAAGAGAGTGAGCTTTTCCTGGGGTCTTGTCTATATATCCTCTCCCAGAATTCTCCCTTTCTT